TACTTCTTAGTAGCAAGCCCGGTTGGCTGGCCAATTTGACAAAGTCAAGGGAAGAGGGCAGCCCATTGTAAGATTGAGCGAAGAGCGCAATCCGTTCATTGCTCGCGAGGAGTTTCTCATGAATCGAATTGTGCAACGGAACGGGGCTGCTCCGCCTTGGGTTGAGGTCCAGATAGGTCAGTCTCCCAACCCTCGAACCCTCGATCTATGCCATAACCGTACTCATGATATCCTGATAGAACTCGAATCCGCTGCAAATTCATTCCGCGAAGTGGTTAAACAATCATGGACGAGGCGTGCAATCCGGAGATTAACCATGTCACAACCGGCTGCACTGCTTCCAGAGTTATCGCTCGCTGACGTTACATCTACGGGTGATCGCGAGTGGGAAGAACGTGAGCGAGCATATCACGACATTGCAATCGCCGACCTCAATTCGCTCGTCCGCAAATACAATGGACTTGCTCCCTATGCGGTTCGCCGCCCGTATTACTCTCGCGATGCTGAGCTTGCAAAGGTATATCAGGAATCAGGGGAGGATATCCTTCGTGGGATATCGGAACGCAGCCACGAGCAGCTTGGGGGATCATCTGTGTATCCACGTTTCGGGGTTAAGTCGTCTGCGGAAGACGACACCACGCTCGCAGCACATGGGATTGTCCCTTTCAGGCTTCGAGACATCATTCGAAATTGGGTGTCCAATTCGACCAGGAGGATTAAGATGATGCAGAAGCCGCCCGCCTGATCTACTTATATTCAGGGGTTTTACCCACACCCGTGGCCGTCACGTTTTTATCTTCTTCATTCTGGATGTCCGGTTGTATCCGTTGACGTTGATCTAATTATTAGATTGCAACATTTCGCTGTGCTTTCTGCGAGGGGTGTAAGTTTGACATCTTCGATAGCCGACTTGTATCCTTTAGTATGGTTTTTTGATGCCGCGAGGCCATTATATGGTGGTCGACGTAACAAACCCCCGGCTGGCTTTCCATCACAGTGTAATACCTTGTCCGCTAGATGGAGAACAAGGTGAAACGGCGCGCCTAGGGAACAATGAGGGTGAATTTTACCGGTCCCCGCCCAGTTTTTCCTTACTCGGGAGGAGGAACAAAGGAAAAAATTAGCGCCAGAATAATTTCCACGACGACGCTTGCCTCATGGCCTGCCTCGCCTTTTGCGGCCGGCCCAGTCCATAGGTCGGGCATCTAATCTATATAAACCCGGCATTGTATCCTCTTTATTCCTCCCAGCTCAAGTCTTTTTGTTACTCTCGACCTTCTCATCCTTTTTCTCCCCACAGCGTAACCCTTCCACAACATCCATGGCCACCTACGAAGAAATCAAAGAGTACAGGCCTATGAGCTCTGTCGTCACTGGTGAAATTACTGTGAGTTTTTATACTGTTGTCGGTGCAAAGTGGTGGATATTGACTACGTTTATGATAATATACAGCCAGGAGACATTGTCGCCGTCAACCACGACCGTTATGGCCGCCGGGAGGGCCTTGTTGTAGGACAATACACTGACTACGCTGTATGTTGTCTTCATTTACCACCTCTTTTCATGTCGTCTCAACCATCCTAGGGCCGTCAAATCCTCGAAGTCCAAATCGAGCCCAATGAAATCTACCAAGCTTGGTATGCTGCTTGCGCCTCGGGATATGTTCCGGGCCCCGACGCTGATTGTTTTGCAGGTACCCTACTGTGACCCGCGTCAGGCGAACCGTCTCGTACACCAGGCCCACCGTCCCAAAAATCCGTGAACGTGCAGTCGAGCGCCGGATCTACTGGTGAAAACCGAAAGCACGTCGAGTGCTCTCCGTCCCTCTCTTCCGTTTTTCCTTGCTTTTGGACTGCGTGTTTCATTTGTATTATCATATACTATCGACCTCCTTCGAGGATCGGGTTACGTTGAGCTCTGCACGATCGCGCACTCATGAATCGATCTCGAGACTCGAGCGTTCGCTGGCTGACGCATAGGGGGAGGGGTTGGCTTTTTGCACATACGGAATTGGTAGACGATCTTGAAGAGGGTTCAGACTAGATGTGCTTGTATATTGGGACTTGGTCACCGTACTTATTAGCACGCCCGCAACGAATGGAACGACATTCGAGTCTGTCACGACTCATGATTCATCCTGGTCTATTAGTGTGCATGTGTGAACAGCGAACAAGGGTAACGGACACGTATGTGCTAAAATGTGCTGACCATAGGCAAGCATGTGTATGTATGTGAGTAGAGGAAACTAAAGATACAGACGGCGGAATAATGTAGGTTGAAACATGAAGGAGAGCCATTATGCTTTCAAGTTCAATATTGGAGTCGGATGTATGGGTTGTGGAGATCGGAGGTGTCGTGATGAAGGCGACAGTGGACGTCGAGAGGAGATTGACGCCGAGGAAGAAGAGGAGACGGAACGCTGACGCATGTCAGGTTGAGAAGCTGATAGCCCAGATGACCGAGACGAAACCTTGGTTGATGTGCTCGACAAGGACGACGTCGGGGAGGGCATCTCTGTCTTGTGAGCGTCTCCATTCTGCAATGGCGTAGATGCTCGTGTTGGAACGTTTCCATTCCCCACCGACCCATTCACCGACCCACGCTCAGAAGGGGCAACCGACGTGCTCCTCCCTCTTCCAGCGGCAACACTCCGTATCACCCTTGCCCCCAAGACCGGTTTCTCCCTCTCCCTCTGCTCCTCCTGCAGCTCGCTATCGAGCGCCAAGCTCGTCACCGAAATCGCCGAGCCGTTGACATCGGCGGTGGAATGTTTCGGCTTGAGCGTTTCTTCTGAGCTTCGTGGTGAGTTATGCAGGGGATAGATACCAGGGCGTGACTGTACCACGCGCTCATAATACAGCATGAATGCCCCCGAGCCCTCTTGAAGCACGGTCTCTATTCCGCACTCCTTGACGGAATCGTCGCTGATGCGCAGCCAGCCGTGGCCGGGGCGGTACATTGAGTCGAGGTCATCGTCATCGTCTCTAATGGGCCCGTATCGTCGACACTTTTCGCATTCGCAGCCGAGAGGATCTACGAGTTTGGGAGATGCGAAGCGCCGCGGGCCAGTCCAGGGAGGCCGCGGTTTCCGACGGTAACATACGTAGTGGCCGAATGAATGTTGCCCGTAATGGCACACAACCGCGGAGAGGCGGTAAATAGTTCTGGGTGTAGCGTATGTCGCAGGGGTAGGTGTTGTTGAGCGCGGTAAAGCTGGAGGGGGGGATGACATGGGCACAGATGGAACAGTGGAAATGTTGCCAGAGGTAGTGAAAGGTGTAAGATCGAGGATTTCCGGGAACACGACTCGTATGTTATTCTTGGACGCATATTGGCCGTAGTGCATTGATCGGTTGAGATGCAGTGCCAGCACAGGTGGTGGCTGAAGTGCATATATGTGAGCAGGAAGAGTCCAATATCAAAGTATACAATTACCCTTGCAATCATCGCTTGTTTCGTGGAAGCCTTGCTCATCACCTTTTCCAACTTGACCCCTTTGGTGTCCTCTTCTATACGATCACACTCTATTGCAGCCTTCACCTTCTGCTCCAGCTTCCTCGCCTCCTTTGCACGTCTTTTCTTCGAGGTTGAGGCATTGAGATCGGCACTGGCAACAGCAGCTAATCGATCAGCTTCTTGCGCAAGGCGGTGCTGAGTTGCTATCATCGAACACTTGCGACAGATACAGTCTGTGAGTAGCTCGAGCTTGGTGTAGTCAGCGAGACACTCTTCTAATCGGATACTCGACTAGAACAATGGGTTAATGGATGACCTGGTGTGCGACCAATCGAAGAAACGCACGTATCTCGGAAGAGCCAATTGCCAGCTATCAAAAGAGAAATGCATAACGGCTTCTGTGTACCCGCACTCGACGCAACTTCGTCTGTTTGCTGTGAGCCCATCGAAGACGCTCTTTCCAAGTTCCCTGCTGCTCTGTCCAGGTGCCTGAGAGAACCCGCCTAGACCGCGATCACGCTGTCCCTCTTTATCGACGGCGGTAGCTTCCTTCTTGATGCACTCAGAAACAAGCTGGAATAGCTCCTGCGCATCTTGATGTTCGCGGGAGGAGAAGAGGGAGTTGTGTTTGCCAGGAGAATGGTCAACCAGTGCAGATATAATGTCAAGAGGGCGAATGGAGGAGTAGGATGTCCGAGGGGAGTTTAGGTCTGTGGATGATAGCGTCAACCGAACCAACTTGGAGAATTATACAATTGCATTCGAACATACCATGCAATAAGTCTAGGAGGGCGTCGATAACGGGGGACGGTACATCCAGAACCTCAGCTCTAGATTGTATTGCAGCTAGATAAGGTTGTAAATATGATAATGAAGACATAGCCTGACATTGATGGCAATCAACAGGTGAAATTGGCAATATGCAATGATGACCAACCTGTAGAGTCGAGTTCATGAAACAATACGTCCCAGAGATGTTGACGAGGCCAGGATAGTATCCCTCTACTGTTCTGGCAATGCCTGTGTAGTATACCGTGAGACAATGCACGAAATGTGTTGAAAAAGGTGAGCATACCTGGTCTGGCGTGTCCATTCTGTTCAAGCTGGTCGACTCGGGTACGTACGTGTTTCTTCTTGAGCTTTTTAGATTCATGGGTGGACGTAGATCCCAAATTCGAGGACGACCAATTCCACGGGAAACTAATTCCAAGACTTTGTAGAACCATGGGAAGTGACCGGGCGATAGATGGTGCCTTGCTCAGAGTTTGGATGGAAAGCAACACGAGTAAGGGAAATAAGACGATGACGGCAAATGGAGCTATTTGTTGGAACACAGGGTCAGTAAGAAGACTGATGAACCAAGCTCGAAAATCGTCTGAAAGGTACATGTGTGGGGAACTGTAAAACCTTTAAGCTTCTGCCAAAGACATTGGCATTAGCTGTATGGCGATGGTTTGCGGCAAAAGTGCTGTAATGCACAAGTCCAGCAACATATGAGGCTGGATTTATTACTATATTATGTTGTATCAACCTCCAACTCTCATGGCTACCTAGCGCAATGGTAGCGCGTTTGGCTTCGATGCCGAGCGGCTGCTTATGTAATACATATTACGTAATACCAAAAGGTTGCAGGTTCGAGTCCTGCGGTGGTCAAATTTTTGATTCAATTTCTGAAAGCCTTGCAAAGCCTGCACTCGACACAAAAACTAGGAATGAAGCGAAGCGGTAGCAAAGGGCAGTTGGTTTATTCTGAATCTCCAAGCTTTCGGAGTTACAGTAATTGACAAAATACTTGAATTTGTGATCGGCTACTGACTATTTACTTGTTATTGTATATTGCAGTGTAGATACTGTTCTTATGCTCTCTTTTAAATTCTATAATTGAAAGATATGTACATACGAAAAGACAAAATTTAATTTGGATCAATCACCATTCAACAATGCGAAACAACATCATCTCGAAGCTGAAAATATAAAAACAAAAGATTAGTTCGTTGTGGGAGACCAACATCTGGAATAAGGTGCTGTACATACCTCAACTAAGCAGACGGTCCCGCAGGAGCCCAGGTAACTGGCTCATCTCCTAGATTCAGATTGGAGCAGCCGGGAGACGTCCAGTGGGCTTGGGCCACTGTACAGCAATTCCTGCGATGTTTTCATTAATATACGACATCCCAAACCTATTAATGCCAGTGATGGAAGGTAATTTCATTGCCGGCAGTTCCGGCAATATCAACGGTGGGAGATTGGCAGGGATGAGGGGTGCAACGTCAAGAGACGGCAATTGAAAGGCGTTTGCGTCAAGCCTGCCAGCTGTTACCAGAACATTTGCGAGGGCGAAAGACCGTAAATTTATGTTGGCGGCCTCTTGGATTAGTTTGACAACCTCGTGGTCTAGTTTGATCCTGGACGCCTCGAGAAAGCGCATCTTCATTTCGTAATATTCAATACGGACTTTGATGTCTGTCTCCTGGAGATCGGCGGCGCGTTGTTTGATGTACATAGCCTCGATCTGAAATTTAAGCCCTTCCAACCCAAGGGCTCTCTGGAGATGTACTCTGAGCAACCGCTGATATAAAGAATCAAAATCTTAGTACAAACCTTCACATCGAATCTCTACGAGCAGCCTATCAGCTGATGTAAGGAGGAGTGAACGTGCATGACGTACCTCAGCAGTAGTGTTCTTCCTGGCCTTTTTTTTCGCCTAGACAACAAATGTTGATATGAGAGCCATTCTGATGCTGTAATCTTATAACGCCAAATACATTACCAGAGCGTGTTCAACGTCGTCGTCGTCGTCGTCGTCGTCGTCGTCGTCGTCATCTTCGTCATCACCAGATTGTACTACTTTTTGTGCCACTTTACGTGGCCAACCTCTCTTTTTCTTGGAAGGCTTCTCAAGATCGATTAAGCACCGGACTGCTCGTGCAAAGAACAGACACTCACCAAAACAAAATCACCATCATCGCGATCAGAGATGGAAAGAGTAAGGCCCGCCCCCGCTGCAGTATTTTTCCCCTCCCCCCTGCCTTCTTATTCCCAGCGCTAGTATTCGCGGGTATCGGGCCCCCAGCCTAAATGAATTTACTCAGGAGCACCTCACAAATAGGTCCCGTATTGCTTACAATAACAATGTCTTCATCTCCAGCACGGCTGGCAGTGGACTGCTAGTACAAGTCAGACGTGGTTATAGAGGGTTATAGATTAGATAATAAATGTTGCTCACCGCACCGTCACGGTGATCCGCTAAACTTAATGCTCCAAAGCCCGCGACACCTCCTGGGCCAACGAGGCTGGAATGCCCTCTGTAGTTCAAGTGTGCATTGGAGGGTAGACCAGCTGCTGTGGCATGTAACTGGCCCTGGAGAGGAATGGCAGGACGAGCAGGGTTAACCATTGTTGTAGCACACGCCAGACATACTGTGACATTCGCCGTATTATATAGTTGACCAAAAAGAAGCACATTATAAAAGCGGGTAAACGAATTCGATAGCATAAAAGGCAGAGCACATACTTTTTGAAGACGAAAGCGAGTTCTATCGTATACAAGGCGATGCACATACATACTGTACAAAACTGGGTAAAGTGGAAAGCGAGTTCACAAGGCAGAGCACATACTTTTTAAAGCCGAAAGCGATACAAAGCGAAGCACATACTGTACAAAAGCGGGTAAAGTGGAGAGCGAGTTCTATGGTGTTCAACGCGAAGCACATACTGTATAAAAGTGGGTAAAGTCAAAGGCACATTCTACGCAAGTTCAAAGCGACTCGGTGTTGGCTTAGTTGTTTATACCACGCGAATACGGACTTTACGAGGCCTTGCTGTCCTTCCGCTGAGTTCGGGTAGCTTGCGAATTGTGATCCGGTCCAAGGCCTCATAGTTGATGCTGACTGCGTCTAAGCGCTCCTTATTAACGCGCACACGGTAGAAAGCTTCCGAGGGGGTGAATCTGTCTGCTGAAAGTACCGTGATAGTGGGGGTCCGGTTACTCTGCCGTAGGTGTGCGGTTCAATGAGGATGAAGTGCAATCAAATAGGATCGCTCACCAGAAATGCCTGGACCTTTTCATCGTCCCCATGGAATTGCTCGAGGTGGCGATAGAAGGCGGGACACATTTTGCCCTCTTTCCCCTTGATTACATATGGTTTTGATATAATGCCTTTTACTCGACACAGCATGCAGGTGTGCTGCGTATTTGGAGTTTGAGGATCCCCACCCTTATAGTAACGGGTCAGTTGGGCACCGAATGTATGATATGTTCCCCTAGAACACGATTTAATGCGCATGAATACACGAATGTTTGGTGGATTTCTTAACGCGCACCAATGACGCGTCATCGAGGACGGTTTATACATCTTGTTCGCCATTTCCGGTGGAACAGTAGCATCTTTTGCGCATTGCTCACACTTGCTACGACTTTCGGGGTCTAAACCCATGAACATTCTATACAAAAAGTCAACGTCAACTCACCTGACAGAGGCTTCTCTCATCGGGCCTGCATCAATGTCTTCGCCTGAGTCGCTATCAGATTCGTCTGAGTCACTATCAGATTCATCCGAGTCGCCATCAGATTCGCCCAGGTCGCTATCAGATTCAACTCTTTGCGCTTTCTGTGGGCAGTCCCTCTTTGGCTCGGAAGGGCTTTCCTGGACAACATCGATATCACTATATGCGCCGGTGTATGCTCGTGAAAAGACCTAGTACTCACCAAAGCAAAATCCGGACTATCATCGTCATCAGCCGAAGCATCAATGGTGAGGCCTGCACTGGTGCGGGCTCTCTTTGGGTTGGAAGGGCTCTCCTGAATGAGGTCGATATCATTTTGAGCACCGGTGTATGCTTGTAAAAAAGCATATACTTACCGAAATTAATTTGTTCTCATCGTCATCAGATGAAAGGATGAGGCCTGCGGTGCGGCCCCGCTTTAGCTTGGAAGGGCTCGCCTTAACAACAAGGTTGATATCAATTTAATCACCCTGAGTGTATGCGCGTGAAAATGAGCTGGTACTAACCAGGACCAACCCGCTCCCATCGCCATCAGATGAAAGGGTGAGGCCTGCGAATTTTTCTTCGCCCCCTCCTATCTTCTCTTCACTACTAGTGCCGGTCTTCGCTGCGTCGACGACTTCAGGGTGCTTCCACACATAATCGCTCCCGGGGATAACAGCTCTATGCTGTTGCTGTTTAGCATGGGCCTTCAGCTGACGCTCCTCCTGCATGAACGAGGCTACATCGAAGTTGGCAGATTCATTTCTAAGCCGCTCTGCAAGTGCTGGAAAAGTGGGATCAAGTGCCAGTGCCTTAAGAAAGTCAAATTTTGAGCGTGCGGGCATTACGAATAAAAGGTATATAACAACGAGGGGAACGATAAGAGGGGGGCGAGGGAATCGACGCGGTCTAAGAGAAAGACGCGATGCGAGAAACTGTCGCGATTCAAGGTACTTATACGATCCAGGATAATTGAAGTTCCGCTCAAAGCCTGACCGTGACGCGACTGTCAGTGATGTAGGATCGAATGAAACAAATGGCAAACCACGCAATTGACGTGTCCGAGTCGTGTATGTTACTTAAAGTTAAACGCGACATCACGATGGAAGTGGGAAAGTGGTATTTGGGTGTACCGGGAGGCGGAACAAATTCGTTGCAACGCAGGACGGGTAGAATTGACAGTATTGTGCCCAAATACTGTAGACATAGGATGACGCTGCTGTACCTGCACAACAAGGAGCCACGAGAACAAGTTGAAGGCAACTTACTGGAGATCAACGCACGCTGGCATCATTAATCGGCAATGCATTGGTGTGACAACAAAAATCGAACACTGGCAGTAGATTAATTAGTTTACCACAGGCATACCATGGAAGAGGATGGTTGTTTCTTCGTTATATGCAGTAACATGAGAGCAGATGCTCATTGACGTTAAATTGCTCGTCAACGTATGGCAATGCACGGAATGTTGGTTCGGTGGCGTGACGCTCATTTTTAATAGCGCCAAGCCACGTGATCGTGCCGCGCTCGACGCGATCAGATTCATTGTTCTGAACCTCCACCCATACTCTTTACTTACGCCCGCCATGCTATTATCGCAGCATTCCTCAAACCCGCTCGAAGTCCCATCCTCAGATATCAGAAATAAACAATACCAGCGAGAGTACCAGTCAGCTCAAAAAGTGAACGGAGTCCATCCATTCACGTCCGAAGATGAAAACGGCCGTAACGCTCAGCCAGAAATGATCGAGTATCACACCCACCTTACTAAATTATATGGCGACGGAATACCCTCAGCCAGCGTTACTTCGACTGTAAAACGAAATGCCCCGCAGACTCGCCCGCTTATGGTGGATCTGGACGAAGATATGGATAGCGACGATGAGTTACACATACAGGACAATGACGAAGACGATATGGAGGAGGATAGTGATGCGCTTGGAGATACCGACGAGGAGATGACGATATTTCTCAGGCCTGTAGAGGAACAGGTGGAAATCGAGCATGAGATTACTGCTTTGAAACTCGCCGTTCCCAAACTTTCAGAAGACTATAAAATCGTCGACAGGCTTGGGACCGGGACGTTCTCATCCGTGTATAAAGCTATTGATCTATGGTACCATGAGAAGTGGGATAACTCCCCATGGCATGCACACCACCCACCC